CGATTGGGGAACATTTGCTAAACTTGCTTCCCCTGTAAGATGGCGTAAGGAGCATACATACCACTTAGTGGTTCTCAACCTTCCTAATGCCTCAACCCTTTAATACAGTTCCTCATGTTGTGGTGACCCAACCATAAAATTATTTTCGTTGCTACTTCATCACTGTAATTTTGCTACTGTTATGAATCGTAATGTAAATATCTGATATGCAGGATGTATTTTCAGGGGTTGCGACCCACAAGTTGAGAACCGCTGAGAGTGTTGAATAAAGAACCAGTGAGCTATGACAAGTGTTCAGAGCCCTGCTCGGCACATAGCAAGCTATATATATATATATATATATATTAGCTGCTAATAGTAATGATTATTATTACTGTGCGGATGGGCCTCAGCCAGGGGAATAAGTTATGATAGGTTTTCATCACCACCCGTTTTGGAGACTCACTTGTCTTTGCCAGCTCCTTGCAAAAATCTATTTTGGGCACATTCTCCCGTGTCATTCCATCTCACGTGTGAAAGCTTGTCAGTAAAGGTCACCTGCCACCAGCTCACTGCCCCCAGGTCAGCAGTGATGGGTGACTCTGTCCCTCCAGGGGCCAGGAAATGATATTTCTCAGTAGTCAGACCAGCGCTGATCTAAATCATCAGCAGTGGTGATTCTGAGTCGGACTTCCAGAGGCAGGCCTGCGGCTTCGTGGAAGGAGCCATGGCCTGGGAGACGGACGCTGGGCCCGGCTGCTCCCCCTGCTGTGTGACCTTAGGCAAGTCACTGTCCCCCTCTGGGCCGTGGCTTCTTCATGCTTGAATTGGCCCAGCCCAGAAACAGTCGGGAACAGCCTCTCTCTGACATCTCTTTAAAAGCACGTGTCATACTTGTAGTTTCACATGGACAGTTACTTCATGATCTCCGTGTTCGTCTCTGCGTTCATAGCCCCTGTCAGTGTGTGGCACAGAGTCCGTGCTCATTTTAATATTTGTTGAATGAATGAATGATGTGGTACAAAGAGAAAGATTTTGGAGCAAGACCTGATTTTGTTTTAGAATTGGCTACTTACACCCGGCCGGCATGGCTCAGTGATTGAGTCTCATGTCAACGTATGAACCAGAAGGTCACGGTTGGATTCCCGGTCAGGTCATGATTCCCAGGTTTCGGGCTCGATTCCCAGTGTGGGGCGTGCAGGAGGAATCAGTGATTCTCTCTCATCATTGATGTTTCTATCTCTCTCTCCCTCTTCCTTCCTCTCTGAAATCAATAAAAATATATTTTAAAACAAAAGAATTGGCTACTTACTACCTGAGTGACCCTGTGTTAGTCTGAGCTTCAGGATTATCATCTGTAAAAGGGATAATAATAGAAACAGCCTTACCGCATTGTTTGAGGATTGAATGTGAAACCATATGTACACACACACACACACACACACACACACACACACACACCACCAAGGAGAACCCTGGCCCACCATCTAGCATATAATGGGTATGGGATAAACAATAGCTGTTATTTGCTTCTCTAGACTAGCACAGGGGGATGGAGTATTCTGTGTTCTGATGATTGAAAACTAGTTGAAAAGGCAAATCTGAATATGCAGCCATAGACTCTGAGTGGGCTCACTGATCCCAGAGCCCCTAGGTTGCAAATAGTTCCACAAAACCCCCTTGGCCTGCCAACGACCCCACCACCTTCTCGCCCCCCTTCCTTTAACCTTCACTGCTTTTTCTGTATATTTGCCTGTAGGCGATACCCAAACCCAGCTCCCTGGGCAGAACAGAACGAGGGGTGATGGGGTGAGGGATGGCCTGATGTGGGTGGGGAGACGGGGAGGCGGGCGTCCCCGTCCTAGCTCCGACCTGGTCCATGTGACCGTGGGCAACCCGTCTCTCTAAGCCTCACTCTTCTCATCTGGGAAGTGCTCAGCCCATTGACATGGGACTCGATGGTGGTTAGGAACCTGGGTCTCAGGTTTAGCTCAGGCTTCCTGTCTCAGCTCTGCAACTCACCAGAGGGGAGAGGCGGGCCAGTCAAGTACCATTTCCAAAAAAACCGACAGTGGGATTCGAGTGGGCTTATTTGGAGGGATGAATGACACAGGCTCCTCAGTGTGCCTCGCAGACTTGTGCACAGTAAGTTAAGACTGTTGACCGGTGGGCCAGCCCTTATTCTCACTTAGTGTCCATTTCTCCCTATTGATGCAGCCCACATCTCCTGAGCTGGACGGGCATCCGTCAGCCGCCCTGCTGGCTCAGCACTTGGCGAGCACAGACTCTTGCACAGCAAAGACGTGATCCCATTGGGTGTGAGGGACATGGCTCGCGTGCAATTATTTTCATGCCTGGCCAGACCCTCCTAGTGTCTGGTGGGTGTGTTCTTAGAGGAGCATGCCCTCTCTCCTCTCGACCCTTCAAAAGGCACAGGAAGGAAACCTCGATTTCATGCTCATCCTTCCCAGCCAGTGGCCTCTTCCAGGGAGGCCTGCTGGCCCTCCCTGCTCTCTCCTGCGGGCTACGTGCCGCTTCCTTCCTTACTTACTACTGCAGCCACTTCACGCTGGAAAGGGAGGGGGGAGTACAGATAGCACAGGCTGCTGGCCCCGTCTTGGAGGGGAGAAGAGAGCCTACGCTTATGGGGCCACCGTGGCACGCAGGCGCAGTGCTGGGCCACGCTCTTAAGTACTTTGTGAAGTCAGGAAGGCTGATCCCCACGTGGCACATGGGGAAACGGGGTCCCAAGAAATGAAACCAGTTGCCCCAGGACACACACAGCTGCGAGCCTAGCTGGGATTCGGACCTGGGAAGGCTGATCTCCACATGGCACATGGGGAAACTGGGGTCCCAAGAAATGAAACCAGTTGCCCCAAGACACACACAGCTGCGAGCCTAGCTGGGATTCGGACCTGGGCTGCTCTGACGTCCCTGCTTCTTGTTCTGCTGTTGCACCGTTGCTGGGGACAGGCGGGCAGGGGTGTGGTTTGGGTACTGTTATGCACTGTCTCATGAGAGAGAGACCTGGGCTTGCACCCCAGTATTTATCTGGCCAGTGTCAAGGGCTGCCGCTGCTGTGCATCCATGGGAACCCGAGAGAGGCAGAGTGAGATGGGCCTCAGACCTCTCTTTCGCTTTTTGCTCTGCTGTTGCACCGTTGCTGGGGACAGGTGGGCAGGGGTGTGGTTTGGGTGCTGTTATTCACTGTCCTATGAGAGAGAGACCTGGGCTTGCACCCAGTATTTATCCGGCCAGCGTCAAGGGCTGCCGCTGCTGTGCATCCATGGGAACCTGAGAGAGGCAGAGTGAGATGGGCCTCAGACCTCTCTTTAGGCGGCAGCCCCGGGCCCTGCTGCAGGCGACTGTGGCTGTAGTGGGAGCTCTGGAGGCCCAGTGCCTGTCCTCAGGGTCACCGCCGTGGGAGGAGAGAGCGAGGACATGGGGTCATAGAGAGGGAAAGGTGGGGGTTATTTTAGTTCCTCTGTAATGTGACAAAGTGTGCGGTTTTCTAGCCTGTTCTTTGTGGCATAGAGGAAAGAACACGGGCTCTATAGTCAGACTTATTCAAACTGATATTAGAATTCCAGCTCCGGCACGTACCGGCTGGGTGGTCCCGGCCAAGTAACTTCTCCACAGTTTATTCTTTAAAATTGCATTCCTGTTCTGGTCATCACAAAGATTTTAAAAAGACAAAGAGTGTAAAACCGATGGTGAGGTGTTCTGCCCTAGACACGCTCCCCAGCAGAGGGGTGAGCAGTGCCTCTCCAAGTGCCACCCCTCCTCCCAGGCCCTGTCTCCCCAGGAAACTGCCACTCGTCCTTCAGGCCCCAGCCCCGGCACCTCCCTCTGTGATGCTGCTCTGAGCAGAATACAGCTGCACTTCCCCCTGACCCTCCCTCCATGATTACAGCCTGTTACCTTCTGGGGACCCATCCCCGCAGCCGACCTTGAGCGAGCTGCGGGTGGCACTGCCAACAAGGGCCTCTGCTCATCTCCCAACCCGGCCGGTCCACTGTGGGCACTTCACCGTCAGATCCAGCATTTCCTGGGCTCTCGCCTGTGCCAGGCACCACTTACTTCATTTACATAGCAGTGATTTTCCCAGCAAATCAGCTGGAGGCAGAAACCACACCAATTATTTCAATAGGGAATTGGATCTTTAAAAATGATAACTAGATACAGAGTGTTCTCTTAGTAACTAAAAAAGCAAAAATAGGGTGTTGCAGGGAACAGTTACCACCCGCAGGAGGAACAGAGGTGGCAATTATTGGAATATTGTCACCTGGGGCTGGACCCCAGCCCTGGGGTGGAGTCAGCAGCCAACGCCAGAGGCAGCGACAGGGCGGAGACGGGAGGAGGGGGCGGCTGGTTCTGAGTGTTGGAAAAACTGCAAACGTGGATTTCGCTGCTGCGGAAGGAAGGAAGCGCCGCTGCTGCTGTGAAGAAAGGGGGTGGCGTGTCGCTCACAGGAACAGGGAGCCCCAGGAAGGAGCGAGTTCTTCCTTCTCCTCCTGACTCGGTCTCCCTCCCTTGGCCCCCCTCTGTTGGCACCACCTAATAGCAGCTGGCAAAGCAGTGACAGGGTTTGCAGGGTCCCAGCTTCGTCATCCCAAAGCAGGTTGGGGCCGAGAGGTGAAATCGTATGCACTGGCACACGCAGGAGCTGTTGCTGTTTCCATTTCACAGGTGGGGAAACTGAGGCACAGAGAGATGAAGTAACTTGTCCAAGATTAAATGAGTCCCTAGAGCAGAGCCAGGATTTGAACCCAGCAATCTGGCCTCAACCATTCTACCATAAACATTGAATGAATGAGTGAGTGGATGGATGAATGAATGAGTGGATGGATGAGTGAATGAGTGGATGGATGAATGAATGAGTGAATGGATGAGTGAATGAGTGGCTGAATGAATGAATAAATGAATGGGCAAGCCCAGAAATAATGCGTCCCCAGTGCCCCGCGGCGGCTCCTGCAAGCGCGAGGTCCGCCCGGCCTGATTGCCTCCTCGTGCCCTGCCAGGTCATCCACTGGAACTCCCCCAAGAAGCTCCGGGTGAAGAACAAGCACGTGGAGTTCTTCCGCAACCTCTACCTGACCTTCCTGGAGTACGACGGCAACCTCCTGAGGCGGGAGCTGTTCGGCTGCCCCAGCGAAGCCGATGTCAACAGTGAGAACGTAAGTGGCTCCGGGATGGGCGGCGTGGGGCGGCTTCTCCGCTGGTCTGTGAGGACCTCCGGCGTGCCAGGCTGTGCGCCAGGCTCAGGGCACGCCCGAGATGAACGTGACGCCATCGCTGCCTTGGGGGTCCCCCGTCTGGTGGGGGCGACGGGCAGGCAGGCAGGCAGATCACTTCCATGCTCATTGCCATGGATGCAGAGGGGGTTCGCTTGGCCCAGACTAGGCACAGTCAGAAGGGAGCTTCCACGCAGAGGAGCGGCAACCTCCTGAGGCGGGAGCTGTTCGGCTGCCCCAGCGAAGCCGATGTCAACAGTGAGAACGTAAGTGGCTCCGGGATGGGCGGCGTGGGGCGGCTTCTCCGCTGGTCTGTGAGGACCTCCGGCGTGCCAGGCTCAAGGGCACGCCCGAGATGAACGAGACACCATCGCTACCTTGGGGGTCCCCCGTGTGGTGGGGGCGACGGGCAAGCAGGCAGATCACTTCCATGCTCATTACCATGGATGCAGAGGGGGTTCGCTTGGCCCAAACTAGGCACAGTCAGAAGGGAGCTTCCACGCAGAGGAGTGAGGATGGGCTAAGACACTGTGGAAACAGTAGACCAGCGGTTCTCAACCTGTGGGTCGCGACCCCTTTGGCGGTCGAACGACCCTTTCACAGGGGTCGCCTAAGACCATCCTGTATATCAGATATTTACATTACGATTCATAACAGTAGCAACATTACAGTTATGAAGTAGCAGCAACAAAAATTTTATGGTTGGAACTGTATTTAAAGGGCCAAAAGGGTGAGAACCACTGCAGTAGACAGAGACTCTCTCCACAGCCAGGAGTCAGTGTGTGGCACCAGAGATCTTCACCAGTCACTGGCTCCTTTAGGGGTTAGCATGGGTGAAGGAAGTGTTAGGTAGGTGGTCACAGGCATAGCTAACATCTAATTTTCTTATTTCTTCATCGTTTATAATTATTTTCATATTCTGTCTCATATGGTGCTCATAGACACACCTTTTCCCCTTCCCCCCAGTTAGAGCTGAAGAAATTTAGGCACAGAGAGGTTAAGCAGGTTGTTCATGGTCACACAGCAAGCAAGGAGCAAAAGTGGGACTGATTGGAAGTTCTGAGGAGCAGGATGTGGGGAAGCAGCTCCTGTAGAGGAAAAGCAGAGAACGTAGGGCCAGGCTGACCTGGTTTGGGCCTTTTTTTTTTAATTGTTTAAAGTATTACATATGTCTCCTTTTTCCCCGACTGACACCCCCCCCCCCACCCCCCCCCCCCCCCAAAAAACCCACCGCCCCAGTGTCTGTGTCCATTGGTTATGCTAATGTGCATGCGTACAAGTCCTTTGGTTGATCTCGCCCCTGTTGGCAGCGCCTAACAGAGCAGCTGGGAAAGCAGTGACAGGGTTTGTAGAGTCCCTGCTTCGGCATCCCCCCAACCCCCGCCCTCCTCTGCCTTCTCTCTGAGGTTGGATGGTCTGGTCTGTTCAGTGTTACCTTGTCTCTGGATCTATTTTTGTTCAATCAGTTTATGTTGATCATATATCCCACCTATAAGTGAGATCACGTGATATTTATCTTTCTCTGATTGGCTCAAAGCAGTGACAGAGTTTGTAGAGTCCCTGCTTCAGCATCCCCCCCACCGGTCTATTCAGTGTTACCTTGTCTCTGGATCTATTTTCGTTCAATCAGTTTATGTTGGTAATTATATCCCACCTATGAGTGAGATCACGTGATATTTATCTTTCTCTGATTGGCTTATTTCACTTAGCATAATGCTCTGTAGTTCCATCCATGCTGTTGCAAATGATAAAAGTTCCTTCTTTTTTATAGCAGTGTAGTATTCCATTGTGTAGATGTACTACAGTTTTTTAATCCACTCATATGCTAATGGGCACTTAGGCTGTTTCCAAATCTTAGCTGTTGTAAATTGTGCTGCTATGAACATAGGGATGCATATATCCTTTCTGATTGGTGTTTCTGGTTTCTTGGGATATATTCCTAGAAGTGGGATTACTGGGTCAAATGGGAGTTCCATTTTTAACTTTTTGAGGAAACTCCATTCTGTTTTCCAAAGTGGCTGCACCAGTCTGCATTCCCACCAGCAGTGCATGAGGGTTCCTTTTTCTCCGCATCCTCGCCAGCACTTGTCATTTGTTGATTTGTTGATGATAGCCATTCTAACAGATGTGAGATGGCACCTCATTGTTGTTTTGATTTGCATCTCTTGGACGATTAGTGACTTTGAGCATATTTTCATATGTCGCTCGGCTTTCTGTATGTCCTCTTTCGAAAAGTGTCTATTTAGGTCCTTTGCCCATTTTTTTTTATTGGATTGTTTATCTTCTTTTTGTTAAGTTGTATGAGTTCCCTGTAAATGTTGGAGATTAAACCCTTATCTAAGATAGCATTGGCAAATATGCAGTGGTTTTCTTGTTGTTTTGTTGATGGTTTCTTTTGCTGTGCAGAAGCTTTTTATTTTGATGTAGTCCCATTTGATTATTTTTTCCTTAGTTTCCATTGCCCTAGGAGCTGTATCGGTAAAGATATTGCTACGACATATGTCTGATATTTTGCTGCCTATG